CTCCCACGCTGCCGTGCACACTTTGGAGGAGGCTGCCCAGAAACATCGGCAGAACTAACTCATCCTCCTTCAAATCTCTCCTTAAAACTTTTCTTTGCTGTGAAGCCTACTAAAGCTTGGCTCTTTAAGACGGGTGTGCTAAGACCACAGCCTGTCATGCTGCCCAACATCATCTCTTGGTTTCCTTATGTTCCTCCGTCAGTCTATCTGCATCCATCGGCTGCTTTTTATCTTATACTAGACTGTACACTCATTGTGGCAGGGACTGTCTTTCTGCACTGTGTGTGTACAGTCCTAGTGTCGGGAGGCTGAGGTCCCGGGCTGGGGCTCCTAAGTGCTCTTTTTTAGTCTATAAATTGCTACCAGATCATTTGTTGTTTTTTCCTGTAACAGACTAACTCGGCTACCCCCTGAAGCCCGCAAACAACAAAGGCAGGTGTGCTTGAAGAAGCCTCCATGGCGAATTTCAACCTGAAACAGCTGCTGCAGCTGCGGCGCCAGGCCTCACGTTTCAGAAGAGCCCAAGAAGCACTACGACGTGTGGAAGGTGAGAGAGCAGACACGCCCACTCCCTTACCAGACCGCTCTCCCTGGCGGAACTCAGGAGAGATGTCTCCACCAGTCAGAAGGAACAACCCAGGAGACCATGATTTCAGACACATCCTGGCCACCAGGGTTTGAGGCGGATGACAACTCAAGGCTGCTGACAACAGAGGGTGAGGGGGCAAACAATGAATTTGGAGTAGGGCATGTGATTCCCCCTATGTCGCCTCTGGGAGAAACCTTCCAGCCCCACCAACCCCTGGAGAACTGGGGCAGCAGGGGTGGAAAGTATGTCCTTCTGGGTCTGGCTAGGGCTGCCTCCTGCAGACTCACAGCACGAGATTCTCTCTGAGGGGGTAGGGCCTGAGGAGGCCCTACCCCCTCAGACATCTCAGCAAGTGAAGGGCACAGGCAAGGTACCTCTGGCTGAGCACAGGATAGGGAACCTGCTCCCAGTGCCTTTCCCAGTGGCCCGACTGCCCTGCACCCAGCCCAGGGCCACCGAGCTCACCCCACCAGGTTAACCACTGCTCTCTCCTGCTATGCCTCCCCCCAACATGTCTCCAGCAGCCAGGGCTGAGCAAGGAGTGGAGAGAGCAGGCAATGCTGCCCTCCCAGACAGACTCTCTCACTGACAACTGCTTCACTGCAGAGAGGCAGTGTCCCAGAGAGGCCACTCTCACCCATCCCCTCTGCTTCCCACCCAGGCTTCTGCTGGGGGGGGGGGGGGGGGAAGCCAGCGGGGGGGCCCCCAGGCTTCTGTTGGGGGGGGGGGGAGGGAAAGCAAGCCGGGGGGACAGTGAGGGGTACAGCAGGAGCAGGGGAGACACATGCACAACCTGGAAGGTCCAGCCAAGCAAGTCCCACAAAGGCAACTTGGTACTTGTAAAAATCTGAAGGAGGTGGATGGGGCCTCTCACCACTCCCCCTCCGGTTTGAGCTGGCTCACCTTATAGATGGAGAAAGACTGGTCCTTTAAACTAGTTCACTCCCCTGCTTGCAGCAGAATAACTAAGGTATCAGAAGCTACTGAAACATCCAGGCTGCAGGGGCAAGAGCATTTCTAGCACTGCAACTAAAAGGGGGCAGGTTTGTGTGTGCTTCAACACAGCAACAGCCTGCTGCAAAGAACGCAGCTCGAGTCTAGTGCTCTCATCCTGCAGTACACAACCTGTAGCATTCAGCCCACGGGACAGCCAAGCCCATAAATAAATGGGCTCTTGACATTTTGTTTAGAGTTGGTGTCCCAAGTAGTAACCATTTAAGAACTGTAAGTTTAATGTTCATTAAAACAACTTTGCATGGTAAGCTCACCCCGAGGAGAAGATTTTAAATGTTAAGGTTACTCTTTTGCCATTTTATATTTCAGTCATGATTATGTTGAAATTATATTTCAATTAGTTATAAGGTGTACATAGTACCTAGCCATCCCTCCCTCCCTCCGAATGAGTTTACCCAGAAGACACCAACCAATGAACTCGCATTCAAGATACTTCAGCTACCCTCGGAGAGCAGGAGGAGATATAGGCAGAGACATTTGAAGGTGATGACAAATACATACATGAAAAGTTGCTGCTCCATGAAGCGTCCACAGAACAATATTTGGAAGAGAAAGTCTAGCCACCAACTGCCTGTTCCCTCCTACTCTTATAAACATCTAGAAGTAGAAAGTGATGATTCATTTTACGTTATGCTTTAGCCAATAAACTTGGCGCTCAGCTCAGTCCCTAGTGACAAATTTCTTCACAGGTTGAGAAGACCAGAATTAAACAAGTCAAGAGGCTGGGCTCTGTCCCCACTAAGCAATGCTATCCCCAATTGGTCTGCATTGAGGCTTTTGGTGGAGCAGCGTCCTAGTTACCCAGCCACAAGAAACTAAGCTGCTATTCCTAGCATTTCTATTCATAATATCAGTCAGATGATGCCACGGCAGATAACTGAACTGCAGCCTTTTCTTTAAACGTCCAGGTGCAATGAAATGGAGGCTTAATCGTACGGTAACTGTTCCTTATGCCTTTTTGATGCACCTATTCTATACACAGCCCTAACAAAACGTCAGCTTTACTGTCTAGTGTGGGGATGGGCAATAATTCAGAAATTTCTAAATGGCCCCGGAGTGCCCCGGAAGGGGCGGGGCCAGGACACTTCCATGCTTCCCTGCCCACAGACCCTGATTGGCCTGGGGGGTGGAGGGAGTGCATGAAGTCTTTGTCCCCGACCTCCCGCCCCCCCAGAGAAACGTCAGCTTTTCTGAGCAGCTGGCGGTTCCCTCTAGGCATCTGTGCCCTTGGTGGCGGGAGGAGATTTCACGTGGTCCCCCGTACCCCAGGCCTAGAGTGTCTCTTGTTCCCTGCCCCTACCCTGCAATGGGCATGCTGTGCTTAAAGTCAGCTCTGGTGGTTGACTAAGCACCACGTGGCCCTGGTGGGGGGAGGAGACTGCACACTCCTCTGGCCCCAGGCTCTGATTGGCCTGAGGGCAGGGGAGCGGCAGGGCGTCCATAGGCCGGATCAGGCCCGCAAAGGCCCTTTTGCCCACCCCCGTGTACTGTAATCAGCACTAGTAGTCAGTTCCCAGCCTCGTTTGCCAGGAAGAAGTCTGGCTAAAGTCTGGTATCCTCAATGAACACAACACAGCTGCTCTTTCCCACCACTTCTCCACATTCAAGACTACTGCGCCCAGCTTTTACACTCTTCCTCTTGCTGTCTTCTGGAAGGTGCTCTGCCTGGGGATAGTGTACGCATCCCAGCATGCTCAATGGAAACATTCAACTATGCACATGCAGAGTGAGAAAGGGAACTGGGCAGATTCTCCCAACCCATCTGATATTTGACTCCCATCTAAAACGCTGCAGCTGGGCAGCGGCTCTGCCTTTCTCTTTTTGCCAGGTGGCAAGGCCCAAAATCCTTTCTGGGCTGAATGATCAATCTAACGATTCAGCACTCACAAAATTCCAGGGCATGCTGACAACTGTAAAGAAGCCAAGAGCAAGGCTGTGCTAGGGACAAGGTGAGGATCAGCCCTGGAGAATCCATGAACTCCCATCAAGCAGCCAACTGGAGGCAGAACAGAAGCTGGCAGAGGGCAGCATTTCCTTGCCATTGAAACTCTGCAAACCATCTGCAACAGATCAGTGTCTCTGATAGATCCCATTCTGCAGCACTCCCTGTTAATCCTGCAGCCCGTGTTCTAATATTGAGTGGGCAGAGGAGAGCTGGCACTTAGACACTACAGTGATAATCACAGTCTAGATAGATTAAATAGCATTAGCACTGCTCCAAAGGCTGTAGTTACTATGGAAGGGAGAGCACACTGCTGGAAAATGCAAGTCACTCTTGTAAACACATCAGAAACAGTTCTGTGGGAAACCCAAGAAGGGAGAGGAAAAGATGGGAAGAAAGAAGACAAGGAGCAGGGAAATGCGGAGGGAAAACTAGTGAGAAAAGCAAAATCAGAGAAAAGGGAGAAACAGAGGGTGGGAGAATAAGCAGCATCTAGATTTGCCAATAAAGCTCTGACGCACAGAGCAGGAGATGTCTGAACTGCTTCAGAGGCAGGGCATGCTGGGACAAAGCGGGTCAGGGGTTAGAAGCCAAGAGCTGGTAGGTAATATCTGTATCTATAGTGGAGCTATCGTTTGGATACACTTATGTTTCTAATTTAATTATAAATGGCTTTTTAATTCACAATTTCTCAACCGCAGGGGCTGCCTCTGGACTTTGTTATCCATCAAAAGGCTGGAGGGCAGAGACTGGAGTTCAACTCTGGTGCAAAATGAGCAGCATTTATTTTGGAGGTGCAATGGAAAAACAGCAGCATCTTTAAACACCAATTTTATTTCAGTGACCTCATCTGCAATGCTCAGCACAGCTCAAACCTCAGAAGCCTTAATTAAAATCCAAACAGCAATATTTTTAGCAGAGCTACGGAAATACCTTTACCTGGTCCACCATTAATTAGAGCACATCAAACTTCCATGGGCACGCAGCACAGCTGAGATTCTCACATGGATACTGTTTTTGTGGGCACAAGAACAGTATGCAAAAAGAAACGAGTTCCTCCCTTAGCGACACACTCACAGTACTTCTGATTTCACTGCAGTATTTGTCCCTGCAATGGTTCTTTAAAGCAGAAAACTTGAAAATTCTCTACCACCTCCCAAAGTGTCTCAAGCCACTGCCAGTCAGACCCAGTACCTCGCAATGGGTATTACAGATTGACAAGAAATGGGCCAAAGTGAAGCATATGGTATGCTGGGGCCGTATCAGCTGGTATGTCACTACCATACAAATACTGTGTGATTCAGATTCAACATCATCTACTGATACAGAGCACTGAGCAATCTCTTAGCACAGCAAATACTAGAGTGGCTTATAAACAGCTGCCAACTCCTGGCATCTCACTGTGAACCTGCCCTCTCTAAAGTAAGGTGAGTATGAAAAAAACAGGCACGCTACCTTTTTCCCCGTTTGTTTCTCCACCATGTCGTTGCTGAGAGAGAAATCTTCTGACTGTGGTGTTTTAGAACACCCACCCTTGGGCATCGTTCTGCCTTCCCTACTTGATCTTCATTTATGCTGCCATCGCCTCATCATCAACCGTCTGTGTAGAGAGAAAAATCAGAAGAATTAGAACATTAGATGACGATAATTAAAGAGAAAATACAGGACCCTTTCTATTGCAACAGCCGAACTGCTGCGCTATGCTGTCAGAAAAAGTGCTGGCAGCCCACCATCCCACCTCAAAGTAGGGCCAGTGGCAGGTGCAAATAGCCACCTGCATTCTAAGTCCTGGCCTGCTTTTGAGAGACTGTTTTATGTTAATTTCTCTCTGTGGCACCAGGGATAGTCATTGTGATGGACTAGACTCAAATGGAAAGCGATACCCTCACTTTGTCTATAGAACTGCTCTGAATTCCCACGTGGGGTTTCTCTCAGCTCCAGTAGCGTCCACCACACACAATTAAGGCCCCAGGGATTGTAAAGATGGGTCCCATGTTCAGGTATTTTTAGCATTAAGGTTAACCATTTGTGCCTATGGAAATGATCATCAGTCCTATGAATTCTTCTGGTATCAAGGGACTAATGCATAAAGCAATTAAGTGGTGAATTGCCAAGTCCACTTATTAAATGTGCCTTTTGTATTGGCCTGCTTCTCACCTCTCGAGAAAAACAGAGGAAGTGAACACAAAGTACAATGGTCCCTGAAAGGTTTTCAGAGAAGTTACCCCAACCCCTTTCAGTCTCTGCACGGCCATTGTACCTTGGCCTAGGTGAGGCGCAATTCAGGAGAACAACAAAGAGCTCTGTTGCCTGTGCCATGTGTTGCCTGGTTACAGAGCTGAAAAGACAACTGACATCTGCAATACACAGAAGTGTGTGTTGTAACCAAGATCAGATATGTGGTCTGGAGCCAGGGCAAGCAAGGCCTTTTCGGGGAACAAAAATATCTCCTCTCCTGAGGTCAAAAAGCATCAGCACAAGAGTCTACTTTAGGACTTGATTTAGGTCATTAGTCTGAAGCAAAAGCCATATTGTATTTCGGCTGACTTGGCATAAACGGGGGTCATTTGACACATCTTTCCCCTGCTTATTGCCATCCGATGGCATAACACATTAACTGGTTTTACATTGGATGTTTTAAAAGGTACAATTGCAGGAAATTGTCCAGGAACAGAGTCATTCCAGAACACCCTTCAGCGTATGGGAATTAAGTGGGTGAGGACAAGGGAGGGAACAGAAGGAAGACGGGAGGAAAGGAAAACCACCTACCAGGTTTTGGGGTGCCTGAAGAGCTTTAAGGCCCACAACTTGAAATGATTTGAATCAGATGGGTGTTTAGTCCCAAAGAGTGGGGCTAAAACCCAACCACTGACTTCATGCAGATGACTGAATACCCATCAGATACATAGCTTCTCTTCTGTCTATTTTGTGTCCGGACAATGAGCCATCAATTCAGCACTTCTCACCAGAGTTACATTCTGATGCAAAGACCTTTTCCCTAGCCCACTGCTTTGACCATGTCAGTCCTCTTTGCACGCATCCACCAGCTCCATCATCTCTCACATACGCCACCTGTCTTTGCTCTCAAGGCTCTCTAGGACCCATCGCCACCCGACCTATGGAATTTCATTACTCTTGCCTCTAACTGGCTCATGATGCAGGCCTCCATCATCTGTCTGTTAAAATTTCAAACAGTCATATTCATGCTTTCTCCCATGCTGCCTGCAGCTCTCACACAGGCAGGACTGAGTAAACTAGGGATGTTAAATCGCGGTTATCTAATCGTGTAGTCAATACAATCTGTATCGACTACCGATTAGTGGATAAGGACCGCTCTGCAGAGACGCAGCGGGGGTAGCTCCAGGAGCATCCCTTATCCCGGCCTCCGCTCCCTCTGAGAGGCAAGGGCAGGAGGCGTCACCACGGAGCTGGTGCTGGGGGGAACCAGCTTTTAAGCCAGTTCCTCCCAGCACTGGCTCCTATGAGAAGCAGCATGGGGGAAAGCGAGTCGGCTACCCAATAAGCTTATGCTTATCAGTGCTTATGCTTATCAGGTAGTCAACTACTTGCTAACATCTCTGATCCTTCTTCAAATCTCCCTTTAAAACTCTCCTCTGCCATGAAGCCTACAAAAAACTTGGCAATATTTAGGCTGCGGATGTGCTCAGACCAGGTCTGTCACGCTGACCAAGACTGTTTCGTGGTACTGCCCCCACCTCTGTCTCCATCGCCTCTCCCCTGACTTATACTTAGACTGAAAGCTTGGTGCGGCAGGAGCTCTCTTTTGAGCTGTGTCTGCAGCACCTGGCACCAAAAGCTTACTGGATAGTCGACTAGTTGCTCTCCCCTCCACCCACCCACCCACCCACACACGCTGCCTCTGATAGAGCCAGCAAGAGGGAGTGGGAGTAGGAGCCAGTGTTGGGGGGAGACGGCTTAAAAGCCGGTTCCTCCCAGCACCATCTCCGCGGGGGCACGGGAGTAGTGGGGACTGGGCATGAGCCGGAAATCAGCTGTCCCATGTTCGCACTGGCTCCCTCCTGCTGTGCTTTAGCCTTTTAAAACGCAGAGCTGCAGTGTGGTTAACTTCCGGGCCAGGAGCTAACCCGCTGCAGCTCCCCCGCTTATCGACTAATCTATGGTAAATCCATCGACTAGTCGATTAGTTGATTAAATTAAATTTAACATTCCTAATGGAAAGGTCTTCATCTTGTAAACCTGTCTGTAAACTACAGTCCCCACCCACCCCACTGAGAAGAGCCTCCTCAGATGTGTTTTTTGTAATGTTTAAAATGTTTCATGACTCTTTGGTAGCCCTACAGCAACAGAAGAGAACCAACCAAACGCTATCCATACACGACGCTGAGGCACATAATTTAAAAAAGATGCCACAGCAAGACATGGCTTTCTTCAGAGCAGACATGTTAGATTCTGCTCTCAACACAGGTGCCTTTAGGGACGGGGGCTTCAGTCCCCCTCCCCCAATTCATACAAGAGCATTGCTGTTCCCCGTCATCAGGGAGCAAGGGGTAAGTGCACCATTTGCTGCATTCCCCACTCTGCCCCAGCTGGGCGACATGGACCCTCCCTCAGCTGTGCCCGCTGGAGCTGCAGCAGCCATAGAGGCGCTTCTCTCCTGACCCCAAGCTGCTGTAGTGAGAGGGCGGGAGTTGTCCTCTCTCCCCGGGGGCAGCCTGCATCCTGAACCATCCTCCCTAGCCCCACCCTAAAGAGTAATTTAAATGAAAAAAAAAAAAACCCCAAAATGAATTGAGGTAAGTACCCAAGCAAGAGCAGGTCAATCTTCTAGTGGGTGTGTACGTATGTATGGGGACGGGAGGGACTGGCACTGGAGATGAAGAGTGGGACATGAGGAGTGTTCCAGAGCTTACATGGGTCGTAAGGAGCCGTTTCAGCATAGGCATTTCCACAACAATGTGGCAATCTAAGCCAGTGCTCTCCAACCTTTTTACACCCAAGATCACTTTTTAAATCTCGGAACAGGCGAAGATCTACCGCCCCGCCCCTTCCTTGAAGCCCCGCCCTCTCTCTATTCTCCTCCTGTCCATCATTTGCTATCCCGAGCCCTTACTTACACACTCTGATAAACAGTTTATTTTTAAATTATGCGATGTATAAAATTAAAATCAAGTGTTTATAGTTATGAAATAAATGGTCTTTTTTTTATTCATGCTATTTAAATCTAAAATGAAGCATTTATAATTATA